TATCATTTGTCTGAAAGTAGAGCCACAGGGATGAGTTCATTCCAGGCTTGAAAGCTAAGGGCCAGTCTCGGGACTTCTACTAATCTCTGTCAGATCAGTAAGCCTAGCCTTTTTAATGATTTTGAGTTTTATTCCACCTTTTTTCCTACTCTATCCAGGGCCTTCCCTTGAAAGCCGGCACCATCTAGTTTCCTGCTCTCAAAGATGCATGGAAACAATTAGTCCAAAGAACTAATGACCATGAGAACCTCAGCCTCCATGACCCTGGCTTAAATTCTTATGGCCCTGAATCCTGGGTGGGTTTGAATTGCCAACCTTTTAGCAGCCAAGTATACAACCAGAGCACCTAGGAACACAGTGCTCTCAAATTCATTAAGTAAATCAATGACTGCACCTTGCTGTTATTCGTATTCAGAGGTGATCTGTGTCTCTCTTTTCTTAGTCTTGTCTTCTGTAACCTCAGCTGAAACTTGTCCACTATGGGTAGTCCTTGTTGTTGAGTGCCATCAAGTCGGTTCTGACTCATAGCGACCCTGTATAGGGTTTCTGAGGCTGTAAATCTTTTGAGAGCAGGTAAGACTCATCTTTCTCCTGCGGGACAGTTGGTCGTTTCAAACTGCTGACCATGAGATTAAGCAGCCTGACTTGTAACCACTACGCTACTAGAGCACCTTATGTGTGGCCTTACTGGTATTCAATATACCACTGGCATAATAGATCCCAGCATCACGGCAACATGAAAGCCACCACAATACAACCAACTCACAGAAGAGTGGCAGATTTCCCCATAGAATTATTCAGTTTTACAATCTGAAGCTTGAATTCCTTCAGTTTGACATATGCTGGATTTTCCAATCATCAGTAATTATCAATGTCTCTTAATTGAATGTTTGATCAATATTAGACAGAAGAAGTTAGACAATCTTACATTTCATCATCACTGACTTTCATAGTTATCTACTTCCCCCCATCAACCTCAAATGGGTTTCCGAAGAGATTTAACTTTCTAATAAACACAATTCAGAAAACCTGAATGTTCTCAAGACTCAGAGATGATTATGAAGGACGATCCTTAAGAAAAAAAGAAAGAAAACATAGTGTTTTCCAGGGCTTCAAAACAATTAATTCCAGTTCAACCCCTTCTGAGAATTTGTATTTCCATCCCAGAAATACTGAATCAAAATCTATAGTTTCACAAGATACCCAGATGATTCTTATGTATAAAAGACTCTGAAATTATAGATGCTGATTCAGTTTATCTGGGATGGAAATGCAAATTCTCAGTTCAAACAGAAACAAATTGAAGAGCCCTGTTGTTGTTGCTTTTTTTTTCTTTTTCTTTACCTTACGCATGAAGCGTGTATTTATCCGTGTATGGGAAACATGGGAAGTTGGGATTTTTCAACACCCTAACTCAACAGGTTCACTGGATCAGGCAGCCAAATGAACACTTGAGGTGCAATGGGAAGATGGCTCATTCTTTTATTCAGCACAACAGTGGTCATTGCAAGGGGAAGCGTCTCTTGTAGTCTCTTGCCCTTCTGCCCTCTTTAGTTCTAGCACTCTTGGCCTCTTCCCTTTATCTCTTTCTTTCTTCTTCCTCTGTTTACTCTGTTCTCCCTTCTATGCCTGTTCTGTTCTCCCTACCCATCACATGGTGAGTCCCTCAAGTATTACTACAGAACAAAGAAAGCATCTTGCCAAATATGACACACAGGTTATATAAGAATGTGACATCATTCTAATATGGCGGCATGCATAGTAATGACTTAGCATTTTTTGGTTTCCATAGGAACCACTAAGTTGCCCCAGATTGGAAGGAAAGGGTCCCTGATAAGCTATAGCCACTCCCTGGCTAACGCCACCTTCTGACCCAACACCCAGAATTGAGACTCACAGTTGCTAAGGGTGCTCTGAGTATTGGAAAGCAGCAATTGGGCATATCCTCTGTAATTCCGCAGGATTAATAAATTTTAATCTTCACAGTTTCATTAATTTCATTTTTTTTGTTGTTAAGTGCTGTGGAGTTAGTTCTGACTCACAGTGACCATGTATATAGAGTCTTGGTGTACCACTGTGGGATGATGCACCTGACTGCTAGGGCAGTTTAAACCATAAGGTTGGTGGTTCAAACTCACCAGCTGCTCCTCAGAAATCCTATATAGGTTCGCTATGAGTCAAAATTGACTCAACCATACTTAACAACAATATAAGGTTTCTGAGCAGCTGATGTGTTTGAACCAGTGACCTGGCTGTTAGAAGTCCAGTGCTTATCTACCAGTGCCACTACTTTAGGTAGCTGCTTTGTCCTTTAGGAAAAGTTGCTGGAGTATAAGTATAATGGCATACATTAACAAAATCAGCCATAGGAAAAGTGCTATTTTTCACCTATAATTCATATTTATTCATGTATTTACTTATAAGCGTATCTTGTCTTTCCATAAGAGAATTTAAGGCAAATATTTATAACATATATAATAAACCATGAAATAACTTGCTAATACAGACATAGGTTGTTAATGATCTTCTGATCTCTCTCTGTGTGAATACCGATGAAAATGTCTCATATTGTATAATCTAGAAAACACAATCATGTAATCTCTAGTCTACTAAGTTGTAAAAGGTATCCTATGATAGATGGCATTTGTGAAAATGTCAACAAACTACCCCAGCCTTCTTCTCCCAATCACAAAAAATAAAACTCAAGTCTCAAAATAAGAAACAGACAAGTTGTATTATTAACTGTTTTTAATTTACAAAGAATTATTTTTATTTGGCTGTTTTGGAAAACCACTAACATTTTTCACTTGAAAAAACATTAAATAATAAACAAGATGTTATACAGTACTTTTGATAACTTCTTCCATCAGCTTAGTGCAATGTATTATTGGCACCTAAAAGTGAAATTTTCAATTACTTTTCCCGTTCTTCATCAACTGTGCAGTTATATGACCAAAAAGGAAATTAATCATTAAAAGATGGATCTAAAGCCAGGCTTTCTGGCTCCTACTCAAAGGCTCAATGATTTAAATTTCCCCTCTAGCCTTATCCTCCCAACCAAGTTAAATTACAAAGACATTCTATTGCATATTGTTCACACACATACACAAACTATGGTTTTGTGGAAATTGAGAAATTTAAATTCATAAGAGAAACTGCATTACACTGATTAGGTGAAGGAAAGTCCTGGGCATAGCATTTTCTTCAGGGTATAACCAAATTTATTTCTCACATACATAGGAGAGAGAACACACCAGAAATAAATAAGTCTCTCAACTGTGTCCTTCGCCAAGATCTCTGAAAATCTGAAACATCATGCTTTGAACAGGTTAAAGGTTTAAACCTTTACTGGGGCAGGATAGGGGGCACCACCACATGAGGACATTATTGAGATATTAAAACATCCATGATATTATCTTTTGGAATAAATAGTCCCCACCCCCACTTTTTTCCCCATTTTTTGTTTTAACATTACTATGCTTGTCATCAAGGAGAGATAGTTTAGTGAGTTCCTCATTTGGTGAGTTCTTCTCCCTTTTATGCCCTCTCTATGATTTATCATTAGGGATCCAATAGGGAAATGTCCAAATTTGACCCGGGTCTAGTCCCACATTACTTTGTTCTTCTGATTTGCACTGAATTACTATTCAATGAATTATTAGGATCAAAGTATTTTCGGGGAGCTTCTGCAATCCATTATGTTGCTTTGAGGTATAAATACCTTTAACCATCTTAAGTAGATAGAATTTTATCCCATTTTTTAAAAGCTTCCTCAAATTCTCTCTTTTAATAAAGGATTCTACGTTACCAACTGCCCCTGCCAGGAAATGCTTCCTCATGCTCCAGACTAACCCTGTTTCCTCTTGTTCTATTCTTAGTGAACACGGAGAACAGCTGGTCACCATCCTCTCTGTACCAACCCTTCATATACTTGAAAACCATCAAGGATTTGCCCCACAGTCTTCTCTTCTCCAGGCTGAATAATCCCAGTTCCTTTAATTTTTCATCATAGATCTTTTTTTCCAACCCTTTAATCATCTTTGTGATTCCTGGCAAAACAGCAGAAAATATTTTTGATTACTTGGGCAGAAATTAGGGAACATTTTTCTTTAAGCTTCAGGAGTAAGATGTCTTTTCAAAGTTATGGTGTTGTTGTTGTTGTTTTTCAATAAAGGTGAAATAATCATGGAGGAAATACACTTGAAGGTCCATGGATCTAAGTTAGCACTTCAATCTTGTCCTGCTTTGGTAATGTGTGTGAATCTCACGCTAACATCCCATGACTCCAAGCACAGGACTTTGTCTTATTCCAACCTGATATGATAGCATAAAAGTGATGGACTAGACTTGCCTAAATTTATACTGATAAAAGTTAGCATGAAAAACTGTTCTGATGGAGTTTCTCCCATGCTTTCCCACACCCAGCTTCCATAAACAAACAAAATAACTTTTGTGAAATAACCAGTTTTTACAAAGCTTCTTACATATTACCAGAGAGCACCATGTTATTATGGTAAAACTGTTGGTTTGAAATTGTAATCTAAAACTGGGAGGGTTATATGTGCTCATTATGGGGTTTCTTGTCTACCTGAATGTTTAACTATCCTTTGTAAAGATCAAACTCAAGACCATTTAAAAGCAAAAAAAAAAAAAAAAAGGCATCACTCCACTACAGCAACCTGATACTTCTCCATTTTTCACTTGCTGCCAATGTAAGGTCATGAAACTGGATGACATTTCATCAGATTTTTTTTTTTTTTTTAACTCAAGAGATCACAAGCTGCCTTTTACCTTGCAACTAGAGTCTGTAAATATTAGGAACACGTAAATACTTAATACCAATAGCACATTTACACAAAACACACTACTGCTAACAAGGAACTCTGTGCTCACTCTACATAATTATCTTTAAAATAAAAATACAGGTAACAACAAGGTAAGAATAAATGCATCTTGGTATGTGTTACACACCCTTCTTTTAGAAAGTAAATGGCAGTAAAAGTCAGAGTTCATGTCCAAGCCAGAACTAACTTAAATGAAGAGGATAAACCAATTTCACAAGCACACTGTATATTATATCTTAACGAGAGTCAATACTACTCATGGTACAACACTGAACAGATAACAAGATGGCCATTTGCACAGATTCCTCTTGAAAACTTCTCCCATAATTTGCCATAAGGAACACCTCATAGCCAGAATGAAGGGTGGTGTGGGTCACAGAAAAGCGACACAGGATGATAGGTCACACCCAACAGTGGCTGGGACGTGTGTACAGATAGATGCCCCTTATATTTCAGGGAGGGTCTCACTGTTCATTAGGATTGCACAAAAACAGGTCAGTAAGATGTGGGTCACCAATAAGACTTTCTCCTGACCTTCTCCTAGGCCTGGTAAGGGGGAGGAGAGGAGGTGAGAATTGGGAAAAGAAGAGACAACAACATGAGAATTCATTGCTAGTTCTGGACTTGCTAGGGTTCTTCAGAGCAGTGGCCTTTTTTCAAGCTCACATCATCCAATCCAATCTCCCCAGTGTGACCACGTCTTTTTTCACCTTTGAAGATGACCTAGGGAAAGAACGCACATACCAGTCAAGCCTCCTCTGTCCCTTTCCAAGGTCCACTCATTTAGCAAAGCACTGGACAGCTAACCCCAAGGTCAGCAGTTCAAATCTACTAGCCAATCCTTGGAAATTCTATACATGGTCACTATGAGTCGGAATCTACTCGATAGTAGTTAACAACAACAACTTTAACAGCTAAAGATTAAATTTCTTTAACAGATGTGAAGGCTCAAACACAGCCACCAGTGTTATCTGAAAGAGCAGAGTTTGCTTTTTGGTAGAAACTTCAATCGCCAGTAAGCTACATGTAGATCATCCCATGTTACTAAGAGCCAGTTACCCTTTAAAACCCCACACTTAACTACAGACTGCATCAACGTAAGAATGCTTATGAAGTGGTAACTTTTGTCAAAGTTTACCAAGGTTAGAAATCAGAAGCGTGTGATGGAATATAAAGGTGCAGAAATTAAGAGGCAAAGATCTGGAAGATCATAATTATGCAGCCTATCTTAGATGCTTCTTAGTTCCCCCTGTGGACCGTATGATAGCTTTGTTGCCTAAAATTGGAAAAAAAATCAAATACCATGATCCACTCACAATGTTATATTTATCTATGTAAAGATTAAAAACATTCACTATTCTTGTATTTTATCATCTATAGAACATTCCTGGTCCTTTAAAAACAGCAGAACCCTTCATTGCTATGACTTGAAACAATATATTATCTTGCTTCATTTCTCCAAGCAACAGAAATACTAAGAAAAAAATTTGGGGAAAAAAACATCAAAGAGTAAAGCAAAATCCCAATACTACAATTACAGATTATATGAATAAAGTCTATCTTTTTTTGAAAATATTTTCAACAAACTATACTTCTAGGCATAGATGCAGAATCTTCTAATGGCAAAAGTTATATCAATATCAACATAAAGAAGACCCTTTCTCCAAACACAGCCCTCGTCTTGGTGGGGTATTATAGACCATTTCTCTTGCTACTTGATTACTTAGAATGAAATTTATATATTCAATCAAAGCCATTCCCACACCCTGTCCTGTACAGAAGTGTACTTTCTAAGGGTATTGTTCTGAGTTCCCACCCAAGGCTGCTTAACTATGATCTCTGAGGCAGAGGAAAAGAAATTTGAACTTTAAAGAAACAATTCAAAAAAGAAAAATGAAACACTTCCAGGGTAATTGATGGCAGTAAAAGTTCGAAATATAAAGAACTGAAGGAGAAGGAAAAGCAAGTTCAGTAAAGCACATCACCCCCACTCTTTGACATTTTTGTTGATATATTTTAAAAAAAGTATTCTATTGCTAACTTTTTTTTTCTCCCATTTTAAAAAAGGAGGTATTTCCACGGTGGGGGTGGTGGTAGTTATCGATTGTAACAAAGAATAATGAAGAAGCAAAAAGGAATTACAGAATGCTGCAATGAATGAAGGCATCATACCCAGAATAAAAAAACAAAAACAAAAAAAAAAAACAACAAAACAAGAAACTTTTGCCTGAATCTGAATTAATGGAGAGACAAAGATTCTCGAAATCCAGACCCCAGAGTTCTCCTATGAAAGGAAAACAACCAGGCTCTGCCTCCTTTGTGGTTCTACTTACGCTCTTGACGTCAGCCCCTCGCAAGGTGATCTGGGTCTGCCTCCAGCCATGGCCACCATTTCTTCCCCACAGGGCTGCTCCATGGGCACCGTGTTTTCTCACAAACACCTGGAGTGTGCCAGAGTGCAGCCCAGTCACCTTGTGCCTGAATGACAGACACAGGTCCCCTGAATTCATGAGGTGGCCGAGAGGTAGTACCAAGCGAGCAGCTTTTCCCCCTGGGCCTTTGGCTGCTGAGATTGTCAGATATTGTCCACCTGGAATGGGAAAAGCAGGGCTTTGTGTGTCATCCCTTTCTAACATAAACAACACGGACAGGAGTTGTACTTTTTGTGTTAAGAACTTGTATACTTGACAGCCATTTTCGGAAAAAACACACCAAAAAAAACTCAGACTGTTAAAGGTGTAAAATATGCCTCATTTCTATATATGTCTAAAATGCTATGGTTTAATGTTCACAGAAAAGACTCTTATTTTGCTTTTATGCCAATGACACACAGTCACTAGTAACCCCCAAAGTAAAGACTATTTCTAATGTAATATCATATCCATCGGTATATACAAATCTGTGCACATTCATCACCTTCTGAGCCTCACCAATTTATGGGTTGTCCAAAACCCTAGGCCAAGCTATCTGGGTAGAGTAGTATAATTGATCCAAGGTTGCCAGGAAGAATTTTTTTTTTTTCTTAAATCTTGCAGGACCCTTAAGAAAAGGGTCATTTTCCTATGCTTCTTACACTGGTAGACACATGACCTTTGAGTATGCAGAGGTGTTCTGGGCTTAGCTGAAAATTCCTCCACATCTTCCTGATGATACAACTTCATTTTGAAGTAGTTTAGAACATCTCTCTAGTAAAACAGACCCATAACCTTTCATATTATAGAGATCTATCTGTTCTATTAATACAGACAGGAACACAAAATTGCAATAAAAGGTTTCATTTTGGGTAAGCCATCCTGATGATGGCCTCAGATCTCTAGGGCTCTAAAGTGTGTTTCCTTTTATTGTTAGAGAAATTGGAATAATGATGCTGATAACGAAGTGTAGGCAGCAGCAAAGTCGAGGACACTGCTTCTCAAGAGAGAGAAAGTTGCACATAATATTTAGAAATTCAACCCAAGGACAAATGAGAGTTAAATCATTCCTCTAGGTTGGTTACCAGTAGCCAACATTGTTCCAACATTGATTTGTCTACAGGAAAAATGTGACTGAAAAGCTGAACATGTGTATCTATGTTGGTAGGACCCTACTTCTGTTTCAGTTAAAAGGCAAATTATCATGTCTTCCCATGCTTAATTTGTATACTTAATTTCATATTATAATATTTTGACTTCTGGTGTCATGCTGTAGAATCAGCAGTACAAACTCACCAGCTGCTTCTCGGAAACTTTATACACGGTTGCTATGAACCAACTTGATGGCACTTAACCACACTATAACATTTTGGATGCCTTCTTAGTTTTAAGCATTTCCCCCTCTATCATGTCCCTAGTGATCTCATATAGCATCAACCAGTAACGTGTGTGTCTGTGCTAATGATCTACATGGAACATCTCATTTAACTCTTTCAGATGACTGGCTGGCACCTTTACAATTTTCAGTGGCCTCTGAAGTCAACACTATTGCTACAACTGTTCTGCTTTGGAAATTTAAGTCACCTAAGGTGTCACCCAGACAGTGAGTAGCAGAATCACAGTCTGAGTTTCAAGCTGCTTGACTTCTACTCACCATGTGCTATGTCACTTTATGACTTTCTCTTCTTCAGGAGACTTTGAACTCTTTGGAGTCAGAACCAACTTTTCCTCAAAGTTCCTTTACTATACTGACTGGCAAATGGTAGGTGTTTAAAGCTATTCTGAATCAATGAATAATGTTCTAAGAGTACAACAAGAACTGCAGACAAATAGATCCTTGATTCATGTACTTAAACAAAAACACCAAACACCAACACACACACACAATTACCTACCTTTGCTCCCTACCACCCAAATTAGTCAAACCAGTATTTAGGGCCTAAACATTTACATGAACTTTAAATGTTTCCCCATATACATCAGCTTTTAAATCGTCTCATAGATTTTAGTTTAGACTTAAGATGTAAGGCTATACGGTTAACCTGCAAACTTTTTTTAAAAACAAGGATTATCTTAAGTCCCGGTGGAATCTACTCTGTTATCATTCTGCCAGACAGTACCTGCTAACAAGACAAGCTAGCAAACCAAGGCATCCTAATAAAAATTTCAAACAATCCTTTTGCACATGTATTTAAAACTCCAAGATTAAACATGATGAATTGGGATACAAGTATTTTCCCCTGTAGAGCTTCTCTGTGAGAGCACTGTGTGTGTATGTGCTTTATCCATGAGGAATTCTTTCCCAATGCAAGAAAAAGAACAGAAGAACAGATCCAGAACTCCTAAAGAAGGTGCCTATCAAAAATTACTTCTGATTCAAAAATACTCGTTTAAAAAATTTAATGATTTTAAATGCTTTCACTGTCTCCATTTATAGCATTACAGCGTCTAGAAAAAAAATTTTCTTTTATTGTAAATAATATAATCAAAAATCAAATCCACTGCCATTGAGTCAAGTCTGACTCACAGCACCCCTACAGGACAGAGCAGAACTGCTCCATAGGGTTTCCAACGCTAAAACTTTTATTAAAGCCGATTGCCACAACTTCCTGTGGAGTGACTAGTGGGTTTGAACCGCTGAATTTTCAGTTAGCAGTTGAGTGCTTAACCACTGCATCACCAACAGATGTTGTCAATTTTGATTCAAAATGTAAGTAATAAAAATTGTAATTTACTTCTTTTTTATTTTGTATTGGTTTATGACTTTTTCAAGTTTTAAAGAAAATAGCATAATGTCTATTACTTCAATATATTAGCTTTGTATCCAAAGGTTGGATGCGGAATGTTCAGCTACAAAACCAGCACAAGTGGAACTAAGATCATTGTTATTTGCTGGTATTTATGCCTGCAAATCAACTCATATTTTATAAACAAGAATATATTCCCATTGCAAAGAATTAAATAAAATAATAATGCATAAATAATATTTAAATAAAACATGATCTCAAACTCCAAAAAAGTTACTTTTAAATTTTTGATTTTTGAACTTTTTACTATGTAAATACAGGTACACAGATGCACATGAATATATACTTTTTTTTTATAAAAGGGATAATATTATATTTTCAATAATATGTTCATTATATATACTATAGCCATTTTTTCTAAGGTGTGGCGCTGTAGGATCAGCACTGCATTGTGAAACAACATACATCCTTGGAACCACATCCTTGGAAACCCTATACAGGGTAGCTATGAGTCAGAATCAACTTGTAGGAACTTAACATAAAAAAACACAGACATGCTTTGCATAATTGCAAGTATGCCATGAATAATTTAGTCTATCTCCTATTGAAAAACATTTATCCTCAAGTTTTTACCATCAATAAGAAAAATAACATAAACAAAAATATGAGGAAATACCTTTAAAATACACATTGTTGTTGTTAAATGCTATCCAGTCGGTTCTGACTCATAGGGTCCCTACGTACTACAGGACTAAACGTTGCATGATCCTGCACTGTTCTCACAATTGTTAGGTTTTTGAGCCCATTGCTACTGCTATTTTGTCAATGCATTTCTTTTGGGGTCTTTTACTTTTTCACTAACCCTCCACTTTACCAAGCAGAGTGCTGTAGGATAAGCACTAGACTGCTACCCACAAGGTTGGTGGTTTAAACCCACCTCTCACTCCTTAAAAACTCTACATAGGGTCGCTATGACGTCCCATGCTGTAAGTACCAACTCGATGGCATTTAACAACAACAACAATATCCTTATCCTTCAAGAGGGATAAGCCCATAGTTTGAGAGATGAAGTATTGCCTTCCTGCATTCTAAGAAGCATTCTGGCTTCATTTCTTCCAACACAGATTTGTTTGCTCTTCTGGCAGTCCATGGTACTTTTAATATTCTCTCCAACACCATAATTCAAATGCATCAATTCTTCTATGGGTCTTCCTTATTCAGTGTCCAACTTTCATATGCATAAGGCTATTCAAAATACCATGGCTTGGGTCAGACGCAACTTAGTTCTCAAACTGACAACTTTTCTCTTGAACACTTTTAAGACGTCTTGTGCAATAGATTTGCCTAATGCAATAACATCATCTGATTTCTTTATTTTACTTCCATAAGTATTGTGGGTTTTAAAAAGTTTGCAGAAAAGCTCCATTACTTTTTTCATACCATTTTGCCATCAACTTTTTGAAACCCCTTTATGCATGAAAAATGGTTAACTTTTCACAGTAAAATAAATAAAATTAAAAATTAAAATCAAATGCCTTTTTCACCTATCAGCTTAGCAAAAAAAAAAAAAAAAAATTTACGTTTGATAATATCTGAATTTGGGCTATTTCTCAAATATCTTTGGTTGGAGTGTAAACTGCTACAATTCTTATGCAGCTGCGCTCTAGAAGAAGTGCTGGACTGCTTGCTAACCACTCCTTAGAAACCCTATACTGGGTCACTATGAGTTGGAATGGACTCCATTTAACAACATATAGCAGCATTGCACAAGAACAATAATCAAAATGCAAAATGCAAATTTCCTTCGGCCCACTAATTTCACATCCAGAGATCTGTCCATTAGGTATATTAAAAAAATATACAAAATGATATATGTACATGGCTATTCGTTGCAGCATAGTCTACAATACCAAAGCTTGGAAACAAATGTTCACATTGGAGGGCTGATTTGGACACATGTGGCACATCTAATAATATGTAATGGAGTAACGGTTACTCAGGATTAAGAATGAGAGTGTTTTATCTGTACTGATAAAGGACAATATTCAACAACAATTAGCTAAACGATTTTTAGTGTTAAGTTTGGGCCAGGCACTATTTTAAGTGATTTATGCATGTGAAGCAAATACTATTGATTATCTACATTTAAGTAACTTGCCCAAGACCAAGGATAGTTAAGTGCCAGAGTCGGGTTGGCAGGTTTCTTCCCAGGCAGTTTAGTTTCAAAGTCCACATTCTTAATGTTAACTCTTAAGATAATATTGCTAAATGACAAAAGCAAGGTACAGAAGAGGACACCACCAATCTGTGAGGAATAAAAGATGTTAGCACAGTGTGGAAAAGAAAATCAAGAAACTGGCTGCATCTGGGGGCATGAAAGGGGCCAGAAATGGGCATGAGCTTTTTTTTTTTTTTAAAATATTAATTCATAT